AAACACAGAAACATGTGGCAGTTCAATTTGCGTATCCACAGTGGAGAGATTGTAAACAAGCTTTCAGACAATTGATCTCTAACATTATTCAGTCTGGATAAGGATGTCGAAAATTAGTTACACCACATAATGACAGCTATCTGCACAGCATAGCTAGTACAGTGTTGCGGACTTAACAGTGTTTGTTTGTTTGTAGTTTTAAGTGACAACTACAATGATTATCAATGACCAATCGGTAAGTAGTACTTTATAATTCGGGTTATGGTCATGAAGACTTCTTTCATGTTGTCCATATAATTTCGTTCTAGTTGTGGGTAAAAATACAAAACAACAACAACAACAACAAAATTTGGGAAGTAGACTGCTGTCCAAAAGTTAAGGAACAAACACAAAAATGCAGATTTCTCGAGAATTCCTAAAAAAAAAAAAGAGTGCCGTGAAAATTGGAGAAGGGGTGAGATGTTATACGATGTATGAAAACATAGAAAGTAGACCTTTTGTTTTCGGTTAGGTATTACCAAGAAATAAGGAATTCAGAAATATGAATAATGAATTGAATTAGAAAAAGATACCTAATAATGGATGTGATCAACTATTACATCAACACACGCTTCATAGCATCTTCTCATGCTGCAAATAAGGTTATCTAATAATCTGGATGGAAACAAATTGTACTCATGTCCGAATGTACATCTGAGCTTCATAGCATCTTCTCATGCTGCAAATAAGGTTATCTAATAATCTGGATGGAAACAAATTGTACTCATGTCCGAATGTACATCTGAGCTCCTGGATGGTTCTTGGAGGTTGTTGACAACTAGAAATCAATTTCTGTAAAACATACAGTCATGATATATGGGGTTTAGATCCGGCGATTTCGCTGGAAGACCCATATGGGCAAGATCTTCACTTTCAAGGTATTGATTTCCCAGCCGACCCCTATGTGGGTGCACGTTATCACCCATTAAAATAAAATTAGATTCAACAGCACTCCTGAAAATACGAACATACTGTCGGTGGATCTCAGACCAGTGAAGGATCCGCCTTCAAAGACGTGGAGGTCTGTGCGGCCATTAATCGTACTGTCTGCCCAGATCTGGACACCACTACGTCTGTAATAGTTCCATGGCGTTTGAAAAATGATATCAAGTTCCTCGCTCTCTCCAGATCAATATTCGTTGAGAATCAGTCTCCATATAGAATCTTGTCTCATCCATGAAGAGAGCATTACACCAATTTTCTCGATCCCATTCCATGTGTTGTCTACACCAAGATAAACAGACTCGTCTCTGAGAGGATGCTAGTGCGACCAAACCACTGGACGTCAGATACACAGACTCTTCTCACGAAGCCTTCAGGCTACGGTCTGTCTTGATACAGATCTCGTGTGAATTGGCTACCGGTAATGGCTCTGTAGCGTCTGGAAGTTAGAGCCAAATAACAGTCGTCTTGAGTTGTTGTGGCTCTAGGACGGTCTTGGACACGTTTCTGGGCAATATATCTTGTCTCCTCATACTGTATCCGTAGTCTGAATACCAAGCTTCTGGAAACAGAGAGCCTTATTACAACCTCAGCCTGCCTTTGCTCATTTTACAAAGATCCTCTTGGTCTCCATCTCAGATTGACATCCAAAAGGTCAGCTGGATCTAATCGCTTTTTTTTGTAGGGTGCGTAGTTAGCATGTTTGCTTACTACGAATAAGTCATCTGTAAATTTTCACGTGAGATTTAACATTGGTTGTGCAAAACCGAGCAGAAACTCAATTGTTATTCATATGCATTGGTTTTTAAATCGATAATGCTTAAACAAGTTTGTTTGTTAACTTTTGGACATCGGTTTATATGAATTACATTTGCTGTTTACAGATTAAAATAATAAGTTGAAACAATTAAAATAAATTAAGCTACCTTTTCAAGGTTATTGCAAAGCGATTTTTAATTAAAATGACGAATGCAAACAAGTAGTTTTGGCAAAGATTTGCAGCTAGAGTTGTATAGGCAACACTAAGTTAAAGATTTAATATGCCTAAGTTATAAATAAGCAAAAACAAGGCATGTGAAATTACGATTAAAATTCTAGCATTGTAAGTTGAATTCGTAAGTCAAGCTATGACAGTAATCAGAACAAGTTCGCAAATAAAAGTTTTTTATTTGTCGATATAATTATTTCATATCTAACATTTACAGACATAACCAGATAAAGAAAACTTAGCTTGTGATATTATTTGCAATGATATATTGAATCTGGTTTTCCGTACATATGTTTAATGGTTACATTCTGACATTTTTGGACAATATAAGATGCAAACCAAAATGCACAATTTTCTTGCTAATATACTAATATTGATATATAATCTACATAAATTATTATGCCAGTTATTTGTATGAAGCAGATACGAATAACAAGAAAACAAGGCCCAAACTGGTAGATACAATGCAATTTCAAAAAGCTTCTTCATTACTACGACGCATAATTTTAAATAAAACTTTCTTACACACCAACAATTTTTCAGGTTACAGTAAAAGGGTGAAAATAGAATCCCGTGTATTCCATATCTTAGAAAAAGTATTAATACATAACTGTAGTTTCTAATAGCACTGTTTGTTTTTCGGCCTAGTATCTGTGTCACAACAACAAGAATAGTCAAACAAATTCCAAATACATTATCTTACTAGATCATATACTGTAATATATTTCTTTTACTTTTATCATAGGAATTGTATATTTTCCAAATTCAGAAAAGAAGAAAACAATTAATTTAAAATAACACGTAATATGGTACTTCTATCTTCTCAACCCTAGCATTATTATGCTTCAACAAGCTAAAATTATATTAGTCATAATCGCTACTCTGAATTATATGAGTTAATGTTGAACAATAAATCGAATATGACATTACCATATGGTAGCAAATTTGTGTACAAACATTTAAAACTTAATTTAATTTGAGGAAATAAAATAATTTATCTACTTAAACTGTAGAGCATTATTGTTGTAGGTATCAATAGAAAACATGTTAAGTATCTTACAATGAATGTTTCTTTAATGGTTACTTGTTACAACAGTTTATGTTTTTGTACTTTTTCTAAGGTTCGAAAAATTAAGGTTTTTTTTAGGTTAGCTTTGTTTGTCTTAATATTCCTCGCAAACCTACAAAAGGGTTATCTTCTCATAGCCATCTTTAATTTTGAACTGATAAAGTACAACAGCACCCACCACTAACTTTTGTGCTTCTCCTGTCTGATAAAATAGTGGAACTGAACTGGCACTGTTATAATGCACCCACGACCCGAAAGTACGAAGTACGTGTTTGTTTTAAAGGGAAATGAATAATGAATTCTCGCATTCACAGTCCGAGAACGCTAAACACTAGGCCACGACCGGATCTAGTAGTTAGTGAATGATATGGGTGGAAAACGATCATCAATGGCTCTCAGAAAACTGATAGAAATGGGTAAATAATTGTTAAACATTGTGAAACTTCAGGAGAAGAATTGATGTAAAGTTTTTATTCAATAGTTTTTGACACAAGCATGGTTTTAAAATTCAGAAAATTAAATCTAAATTTTGCAAAAGTTATTTAAAATTAGTATTGTGAGTAAATTTAATTAACCCAAATAGTTTTATAGAAAATGACATTATTTCCAGGTGAAAAGATATTGATATATGTTGCAACATTGTGAAACTATAACCAGTTTAATGTAATTATAGTATTTTGGCACTTGTGTATAAAGCTAAAATCATAAATAATATT